AGTCATTAGCTCGGACCAAGGGGAAGTCAGATATTTTGGATTGAATATGGTGAGCCTCTCTCTGAGCCTACGTCCCTGTATGGCAAGCCCTTTCAACATTTAAAAGCTAAGTTTGCCTATCCGGAACTAGCATTGTAGATATCAACGTCTTTCTGACTAGTCGTAATTTCATTTTGGATAGTTTGTATTATCATTTAATAGATATCTGTAATGTAATTGTGAGTAGTCGAAATGACAGATAGAGTATGGCAAGCTGTTTTAACATTTAATCATTTAATCATGAAAGGGCCAAAGCCTGCGACAACGCCACCCCGGTGCCTTTAGGTAACTAAAGGAACCGGGGTTGCGGTGCCACCGGCTTGGGCCCGCCATCGCTGCTCGCAGCTATATTTATTATTATTATTATTTTTCTTACGACTATTCGGGCACTTTTGGGGCCCTTAACATGCTCGAAAACTCTTGAAACTTTGCACACGGGTCAGAACCCGCGGCCATCAGAGCCGGGCTGAAGATGGTACCCGGGCGTGGCAGGGGGGCTCGTCAGCGCCCCCTGGAATGGGGTCCGAACACTTGGTCCATAACTCAAACACGCTTGCATGTAATAATATGAAACTCGGTACGCATGTTGATCTCATCGTTTCATCTATACCTCGCGCTTTTACTTTTTACCCCAGCCCAACAGGAAGTCGGCTATTGAGGTTTGTTTGTAAAACGCTCGCAATGTTATTTGAAATACTCCTCCTAGAGCTTTGATCCAAATTCGACGATACTCGGTCAGCGTAAAGTGAAGACATTGAGGATGAAAGCTTGTGTGGGGATTTTTGATATCTCGAACGGTTTGGCCGTGGCGAGGAAACGAAATCATGGCGAGAAACGTGAAACAGGAAGTTTGTTATAACTTCAGCATACATTAACTGATCTTGATGAAACTTCAGCAGTGTGTTCGCTGTAAGAGGACGATCACATGGATGTGACTATTGTGAGTCAAAGTTATAGCGCCACCAACTGGCAGCAGGAAGTGTGTCACTTTCAAAATGCTTTGATATCACCCTTTTATTTTTACCCGATTTGCTTCAAACTTCATATGTATAATGTAAACATACGGCAGATGTAGACCTGTGAATGGATTCTTGATATCTTTGAAACTGTTGCCGTGGCGACGCATCAAACTTTACCCTTCTTTTAGGATGCTTTTAGGATGCTTTTGAGACCCTTAGCATGCTTCAAAATGCATGAAACTCGACAGACACATCACATTTATTAGCCAGTAGACACGTGCAATGTTTCAGAAACGGGCGTGGTGAGGGCTCAGTAGCGCCACCTTTTGACAAAAGTAGGGTTGTTAGTTTTATCTACAGTTACAAAAATCGGTATGTATATTGTACTCCTCGAGCCGGACAACTTTCTAATTGACACTCATTAGCTAGGACCCACAGAAAGTCAGATATGTTTGTTTGAATGTGGTCTTGCTTAATCTGAGCCTACATCTCTGTCTTTGCCTGTCTGTGTATGTGTGTGTGTTTGTAGGGGGAGGGGTCTTAACCATTTCACTCCTGTGTGTATGGCCTGCATAAAAAATAAATGCCTTAAGCCTGGTATTTTTTTAAATAAGTTTTTTATTTTTTATAAGTAAAGGCATATAACCAGTTTAATTGTAGTGCATTAATAGTTTTATATAATTAGTTTATTAATTAAATTAACTTGGTCCATAAACTTGATCTGAAAATTTGGTCCATAAATCAAACACACTTGCATGTAATAATATGACTTGAGTGTTAATCACATCATGTTTTCAGTTTGAATATAAAATATATAAATTATGTAAAAAAAATAAAGTTGATCCAGCTGGAGCGCAGGCTGAGAATAGCGCTGTCATGACTGGATCACGAGATCATCAGTCATGCCCTCTCATACCTTACGCGCACACCACGCCCACTTACATCAGATCACATCAACATGTCAGCCGGAGGGATAACGAGGGTCGTCGTCGCTTTTGGATTCAAGAATTTCTTACAACAAGATGGCAAAAGAACAGCGCTTTGCAAGACATGCAACGTTAAGATCGCGGACAGTCAGATGACAACCTCCAATTTCGTCCGTCATTTGAAGAGCCATATTCTGCCCAGTAAGTGCTTGTCAATTTGTTAATGTTATCTGGTTAGCTCGTTCGTAGTTAGCTAGCTAATGTAAGTTAAAGGAGAACTCCGGCGCAAAATTACACATTGTTACCTAGTCAACCGTTATCTGAGATTTGTTTTCATGACTGCCGAATGTAAATAGTTTTATCTATAAAAACAGTTTAGCCTATAAGTGACGCCCGACATTCTGCATATTGTGTTATTTTGTTAAGCCCCACTAAAGGCATAAAAAACTGTAAAGCACAATCAAGTTTTCACACTATATTCCAAGACTTCTAAAGTCATTCAATAGCTTAATGTGTGGTAAAATTAATATTTTAGTCTCTAAGTTAAAGTTAACGGAAAGTCATCTCGCCTCAGTCATTCTCCATGCATCAGCATTAGCGCGTCGCGTTCGGTTGCGACAGTAACACGACGACACTCTCTTCAAGATCAATGTTCCCAATATTATACTTTATTTGTAGATAAGGCATAAAGGTCTATGATTTGCATAAAATGACTATCTTGCTGGAGTGGAGTTTATTGCCCTTTAGAATACACTAAGCATTAGTGCTGCACGATTAATTATATCGCAGTCGTAATAGCGATCTCAAACCTATGCAATTATATAACGCAAAATGCCGCGATTTTATATGAAATAAACAAAGTAGGGCTATTAGCGCAGCATCTCTTCTTTTTTGTCATCCTTTGACTAGTGTTACAAGATCCCCCTCTTATTGGTTCAAATGCCTTTTCGCATTTTGCACGACAAGAAGTGAAAAGCTGCCTGTGAGTGCCCTAGATTAGAATAGATGAGACTCGCATAATGCGCATGCACTGACCGTGTGCCAGCCCAGAATAAACAGTTCTCTTTCGAACTTGAACGAACAATAGCACACACAATTATGCCAAAATGTGATTTTGTCTAGTATCTTCATAACATAAGAAAAGTCTATGGATGAAAAGAGTTGTGCTATGAGGCGCGTGTGAGATCCGCGTCTCGGCAACGGGTGCTCTTAAAGGGCCAGCAGCGAATAAAGCGTTCCCTGCAAACAAGCCTGCACTGGCCCTGTCCGGGCCCACTTAGGGCTAGCCTAAGGGCCCCCTGCAGGCTGCTAGCGCAGGGCCCATGAGAATTTGCTCATTGGCAAAACGTTGGGCCTGCATGGGCAGCCCTCACTTAGCCCTCACTAAACCCACACAGGGCCCGCACACTGGGCCCACAAAACGTTGGCCCTGCATGGGCAGCCCTCACTTAGCCCCAAGGAAGCCCTCACTAAGCCCACACAGGGCCCGCACCGCACACACAGGGCATCTACAACAATAGATCTAGTTCACAATTAATCTGTTTCACTATAAATACTTTTTGGCTAATTTAACTATAAGTCTTTGGGAAAAACAATTATTCTATACATCTGAATGCAGTCACCACATAACTAATTTCTGTATTTTCACAAATGTACAGAAGTCAAAGGGATTTCAAATCAATGTATTTATTAATTACAAAACATAAAACATTAAATTCAGGTTATTATATATAATATAATTACACTATTATATATTCACATAAAAAACAGAAACATAGAAAACAGCTGTTTTACATTATGATAAAATTTCACAATATTACTGTTTTTTTTTTTTAAATAAATGCAAATAAATGCAAGCTTGATAAGCAGAATAGACTTCTTCCAAAATGTTTCCAAATTTTTTACCTGTATACTGTATATGATTTTATACAAAATAAATAGTAGTTAATAAGATTGACACTGTATTATATCTAGTAATATTGAAGCTAAACAGAGTCCCTATAACAGTGCAATTTGTAGATTTTTAGTCTTCGAGAAAATGTTTTATGAGTTGCAAACCTCTTTTTCTTTGCTTTCTCTCTCTCACAAACACAACACATCAGTTACACAAAACATCAGTTAAATTCTTCATTGCAGGTGCACAAATCCTATTCTAAAAATTACCAAACTCATAGGGTCATATTTTTGTTGATAAACAGTAACATTTTGGCCAATTATGCACATTTCTTGGTGTATAATTTTGTGAATCATCTATACTGTTTGGCTATTCTCATGTGGTCACACTTCACTTTTCATTCACAGTCACATATGCTCAAACCCCGTGTGGCCGTGCCTTAAATGTCAGCATACATTTCTTACAGGGCTGTGCAAAAGTTAATTGCGATTAATCGCATTCAAAATAAAAGTCTGTGTTTACATAATATATTTGTGTGTGCTGTATATAATTATTTTGTATTAGGGCTGTGAAACGATTAATCGCATCCAAAATAAAAGTTTGTGTTCACATAAATTATATACGTTTGTGTAGTGTGTATAATTATTTTGTATATATAAATACACACACATGCATGTATATATTTAAGAAATATTTGCATGTTTGTACTGTATATATGTTTATACAAAATTAATATTATACATAAATATAAATCTTTGATATATCAATAACACATTTTTCTTAAATATATACATGCATATGTGTGTATTTATATATACAAAATAATTATACAGACATATATCATGTAAACACAAACTTTTATTTTTGATGCAATTAATCGTTACACAGCCCTATATTGTATATATAAATACACACACATGCATGTAAGAAAATGTGTTATTCATATATAAAATATTTATATTTATATAATATAGATTATGTATTCATATATATATATATATATATATATATACACACAATTTAAGTGCAAATAATTCTTAAATATATACATGCATGCATAGGTATTTATATATACAAAATAATTATATACAGCACACACAAATATATTATGTAAACACAGACTTTTATTTTGGATGCGATTAATTGCAATTAATTTTTGCACAGCCCTTTTTGTGATTTGAAAAAAAGAAAATTATTTGTACACCTCCAATGAAGAATTTGAAAAGCTGTAACTGCAGTGTTTTTTGTGAAAGAGAAAAAAGTTTGAAACTTAAAAAAAAAAAAACGTTCTCTCTGTGACTACTTTACACCTGACTACTTTTAACTGACTACGTTACACCTACAGATTCCACTGTCACAGGTGCTCTGTTTTGCTATAATGAAACCTTTACAGAACATGATAGTAATCCGCCATCCATGTAAAAGCAGAGGTCGGTGTGGTGTACAGGTACATCTGTCCAGCCAACATCTCACGCCTTGATGCCTTCCACTGTGGATCCCAGAAAACCTGCAAAAAAAAAAAAAAAAAATACAGTTCAAAATCTATCATACATAATCATACATCTGGTATCACAAATTATTCCAGGTTATTATAACAATTCCAGGTTCAATCAGGTTAAATGCTCAATATTAGAGCTGCACAATACTAAAAACCTTAAATAAAATATTTTGTTTATCTGCTGCTATATATATTGCGATATAAAAACAAATTTCAAGAGATTATTGAGTGAATCTGCATTGAAAATTATAACAAATTACAAGTATTGATAAATTCAATAGAAGAAAAATACAATTGAAATAAGCAGTGCATGAAGTTTTTTCGGAAAATCTAACTTATCAGGTACGGAAATTGAATTATCTAATGTAAAATAAGTCTTCACTGAGGTACAGCCTCTCTCTACTCTTACAAAATGACAAACAACCAGCCTGAAAAACACATGACAATGACACAAGATAATGTCTATAATAAATAGTGTGTGTGTAATTTCTTCAGTACCGTCAGCAGAACTGATAACATCTGAGCTTATCGATACTGCAGTCTTCCTTAATTTGGCCCCAGGGCCCGTTTAATGTTTAATACCGGGTTTCGGAACCTATTCCTACATATGGGTGAGTTCATATGGATGAAGGCCTGTTGTGTTTGGCCTCTTGGTTTGTGATGGTGATATAGCTATTGTGAAACTCACCTTCGTCATGTACTGGGTGTGGATGGCATCAAGATCTTGTCCTGAAGAATCACAGGATCAAATGATATCTCATCTGGTAACAAGAGCACAGCCATAACCCCCTGAATTCAGCATTTGAAAGTAAAAAGAATTTCAGTATTTATCAGTCAAACATACATAAAAAAATAGCTTTGAGTTGGACAGTATGGTGTCTCATTGGCCAACATAATTAAAAACACACCCAGAGAAAAAATAAAATAAAAAAATAATATATATATATATATATATATATATATATATATATATATATGTATATATATATATACCCATGACTATTATCCTGAATTATTATAACTATGACTATTATAACATTATATTTGCCACCTATTATTTAGCTTCTCAAGTACAATGTCACTGAAAAAAACTGTAGTTAATGAATTTAAAGTGAGAGACTTCATTCAAAATCATAAATCCTACAGACCCACAACAATTAAACAGTATGTATGAAGTTTTGCTTACTATAGTCGAGGTCATAGCCGTGGAGATTGTCTTGGACCCCAGGGGGTGCAGCAGGACATCTATGATGATCTTCAAGAAAATAACATGCAATGTGTCACAGAGCCAACAATATTACATTGAATTTACAATAGAACAAAGGGTTTAATACAAGGAAGCAAGCTAGAGCATAGCTAAAGAATATACATAAAAAATCTTAAGGTAATATATTGTGCAATAATGCATATGAAATAATTATCATGATTAAACAATAATTCCCCTTTGTTGTGTTTTTTTCCTGTTCCTTCTGAAATCACTTATTACCAATATTTGTAAATGACGTCATTAAGTAGCCTACGTTACAATGAATTCTTTCAAGGTTAAATAAATTAACTTAGCTAACTTCCAATCACCCATTGACAAATTACCAGCAAAACAAAACTATCAAAAACTGTTATCAACACAAAAATGTGGTTAAAAACCCACACTTATGTAAAACAAGAGCTCAATTGTAACGTAAACAACTTAACTTTAGCTCTTCTGAAAACGGTTCAGTCAGATGCTAACGGACTTTATCGAAGACACAAAACTATTTCTATAAAGTAAATATTCAACAGAAGTGTATCAATTACACGTAAGACATATATCAGGAAGGTTTGTATGTATTATTTGTGTGATTTTGGTAACTAGACTTACCTGAAAGCAGAGAAAACAACAGTGAGAGACGCTGCTGTTTGTCAGTTGATGGGTTTCCTCGTTTCCATGGTTTCCATCTGCTCGCGCGCGCTCCTGTCTTTGAATCAGATTTGAATGCGACTCGCGCACGTACGCCCATATTGAAACCATAGAACACGTCAAAAGGCACGCAGCATTTAAATAAACATCTAGAATTATAACATTTAACAATTTAAAATATCTTTAATTTTATATAATGAATTTAAACTCATTGTGTAGTTCTATGACCCATTCAGTTGACAATTATGCTTTTTAATACCATTTTGCTTTTACTTTTATTGAAAATAAAAAAATAAAACATTTTTAAACAATTTAAATATATATATATATATTTAAATTGTTTAATTTTTTTTTTAAGAGAATTAAAATTACCAAGTTATTAGTGCTTTCTTATTCTCTTTATATATATATATATATATATTATTAGTGCTTTCTTATTCTCTTAATATATATATATATATATATATATTTTTTTTTTTTTTTGAAGAGAATTAAAATTACCAAGTTATCATGATTAGAGGACGTACTGACGACATTGTGGGCATGTGGGCAAATCTAAATGTGGGCTACCTAAACTAAACCCGCATGGGCCCAAAGGTGCAAAACCTGCTCATGGGCCCGAATGGGATGGCCCACAGTGGGCCATCATGGGCTTAATGTGGGCAGCCCGCTAGTGTGGGCTGCTCACTGATAGCCCGCAGTGAGCCCAAAGCTGTGGGCCTCGTCTGGGCAACCCGCACTGGGCCTGTTTAGGTTTGGCGTGGGCTGGCCCTAGCCCACTGTGCCCACAAAAAGCCAGCGTCGGCCCCGCAGGGGCATGTTTGCAGGGTTCTTTCAGTAAAGTTAAAAGAACAAAGGGAAATTAGAAAATTACTCACTGATCTTGAGTAAAGAACTTTTGTAGCTTTAATAAGGATTATTATATATATAATTTATGATTCAGGCAGCGCAGACTGTTTGATAACTTTATTCAATTTCTGTACCTGTTAAGACAGGAAGGGCACAGGTAAATATGTTTTTCATTATGGGTTTATGTGGGGATTGTTTGAAGTTCACTTAATTTAAAAGCTGTTATATATTTTTTTAAGCGTAATAATTTTTTAAAAAGTTGATGGCTTTCAATTGATGGAATCACTGTAATGTTGGTTTGGTTGATGGTTTATTGATCATTATAGGTGTTATCAATCATTTATTGTTGTTGTTGTTTTTAGTTTGAGTTGAGAAATAAACATTAATCTGTGTGTGCATTTTACTTTAGAACCAAGCAAGTTGGACTCATGAAACCATTTTATTATATCGGAGTCGCAAATTGCAATTGCAATATTGGCTCAATAATGGCAATATGACATTTTCCCAAATCGTGCAGCCCTACTAAGCATAGATTATAGATACCATCCCTTCGCTATGTTCTTTTCAATGTGAAGCGTTGCGTGCTGTGACTTGGTGTTGCTTCAAGTGCATCATTCTGCACACGGGATGCGCATGATTGCTTATAATACTTTGGGGAGACAAGGGGGCGTGGTCTAAGGGAATAGCACTCGTGATGTTAAGTGATGTTACCCCGCCATCGCTGATACAACCTTTAGCAGTCATGTTTTTGCTTCTTGAGAGAGAGAGAAAGTGTGTGTGTGTGTGTGTGTGTGTGTGTGTGTGAGCAATGGCGGTTCTAGGCGGGGGCCTGGGGGGGCCAGTGCCCCTGCGACAACAAGCTTGGACCCCCTTGTGGCCCCCTAAATGTGGAGTCAGTGTGAAATATTTTTTTATAGTGTGTCACGCATTGAGCATGACAGTCACTCGTTTCAGTCTTTTGTCTCACACTCCCGTCACACATTGTATTTCTCATGCGGAAAAACTATTAATAATATATTTAATATACGCAATTTCTCTGGCCGCGCCGCTCTCACGTGAGAATCAAGCGCGTCTCGCCTGGAGTTCAGCAGTCGACCCTGCTACGCATCAGCCAATCAAAAAAAGAGAAGTGCTACTACATTGGTTGTTAGTTTTATCTACAGTTACAAAAATCGGTATATACATTGTACTCCTCAAGCCGTACAACTTTCTAATACATAGTCATTAGCTCGGACCAAGAGGAAGTCAGATATTTTGGTCTGAATATGGTGAGCCTCTCTCTGAGCCTACGTCCCTGTATGGCAAGCCCTTTTAACATTTAAAAGCTAAGTTTGCCTGTCCGGAATTAACATTGTAGATATCAACAACGTCTTTCTGTCTAGTCGTTACACTTTGGATAGTTTGTATTATCATTTGAGATATCTGTAACATAATTGTGACTAGTCGAAATGACAGAGTATGGCAAGCCGCATTAACATTTAATCATGAAAGGGCCAAAGCCTTCGGCACCGCCACCCGGGTGCCTTTAGGTAACTAAAGGAACCGGGGTTGCGGTGCCTCCGGCTTGGGCCCGCCATCGCTGCTCGCAGCTATATTTATTATTATTATTATTATTTATACGACTATTCGGGCACTTTTGGGGCCCTTAACATGCTCAAAAACTCTTGAAACTTTGCACACGGGTCAGAACCCGCGGCCATCAGGGCCGGGCTGAAGATGGTACCCGGGCGTGGCAGGGGGGCTAGACAGCGCCCCCTGGAACGGGGTCCGAAAACTTGGTCCATAACTCAAACACGCTTGTATGTAATAATATGAAACTCGGTACACATGTTGATCTCATCGTTCATATATACCTCATACTATTACTTTTTACCCCAGCCCAACAGGAAGTCGGTTATTTAGGGTTGTTCATAAAACACTCGCAATGGAATTTGCAATACTCCTCCTAGAGAATTCGAACACACGGCACGAAACTCGGTCAGCATGAAGTCAAGGCATTGAGGATGAAAGTTTGCGAGGGGATTTTTGATATCTCGAACGGTTTGGCCGTGGCGAGGAAACGAAATCATGGCGAGAAACATGAAACAGGAAGTGTGTTATAACTTCAGCATACATTAACTGATCTTGATGAAACTTCAGCAGTGTGTTCGCTGTAAGAGACCGATCACATGGATGTGACTATTGTGAGTCAAAGTTATAGCGCCACCAACTGGCAGCAGGAAGTGTGTCACTTTCAAAATGCTTTGATATCACCCTTTTATTTTTACCCGATTTGCTTCAAACTTCATCTGTATAATGTAAACATACGGCAGATGTAGACCTGTGAATGGATTCTTGATATCTTTGAAACTGTTGCCGTGGCGACGCATCAAACTTTACTCTTCTTTTAGGATGCTTTTAGGATGCTTTTGAGACCCTTAGCATGCTTCAAAATGCATGAAACTCGACAGACACATCACATTTATTAGCCAGTAGACATGTGCAAAGTTTCAGAAACGGGCGTGGTGAGGGCTCAGTAGCGCCACCTTTTGACAAAAGTGGGGTTGTTAGTTTTAACTAGAGTTACAAAAATTGGCATGTATATTGTACTCCTCGAGCCGGACAACTTTCTAATTTACACTTATTAGCTAGGACCCACAGAAACTCAGATATTTTTGTTTGAATATGGTCACTCTGAGCCTACATGTCTCTTTGTCTTTGGCTGTCTGTGTGTGTGTGTGTGAGTGTGCAGGGGGAGGGGGCTTAACCATTTCACTGCTGTGTGTATGACCTGCATAAAGAAAATACATTTCTCAAGCCTGGTATTTTTTAAATAAGTTTTTATTTTTATTTTTTATAAGTAAAGGCATATAACTAGTTTAATTGTAGTGCATTGACAATAGTTTTATATAATTAGTTTATTAATCAGATTAACTTGGTCAATAAACTTGGTCTGAAAATTTGGTCCATAAATCAAACACACTTGCATGTAATAATATGAAACTTGGTACACATATAGATCTCATCGTTTCATATATAGCCTACTTCACACTCTTACTTTTTACCCCAGCCCAACAGGAAGACGGCTATTTAGGGTTGTGTTTAAAACACATGCAATGGAATTTCAAGTATTGCTCCTAGAGCACTGAACCAAATTCGACAAAACTCGATCAGCGTGAAGTCAAGACATTAAGGATGAAAAGGTGCCAAGGGATTTTTTATATCTCGAACGGTTTGGCCGTGGCGAGGAAACGAAATTATGGCGAGAAACATGAAACAGGATGTGTGTTATAACTTCAGCATACATTAACTGATCTTGATGAAACTTCAGCAGTGTTTTCGCTGTAAGAGACCGATCACATGGATGTGACTATTGTGAGTCAAAGTTATAGCGCCACCAACTGGCAGCAGGAAGTGTGTCACTTTCAAAATGCTTTGAAACCACTCTCTTATTTTTAACCGATTTGCTTCAAACTTCATCTGTATAATGTAAATACACGGCAGATGTAGACCTGTGAATGAATTTTTGATATCTTTGATACTGTTGCCGTGGCAACGAATCAAACTTTAACATTCTTTTTTGATGCTTTTGGGACTCTTAGCATGCTTGAAATTGCTTGAAACTCAACAGATACATCACATTTATTAGCCAGTAGACATGTGCAACTATGGCAAAAGATTAAAGTAATGTCAAAAAAGTAAACACTAAAAGCCTCATATCTTCTAAAAATGTAATTATACATCATTTGTTTCTAAATTAAATTATACAAATATTATAACTTCCCCAATTTTTCCTTTTTTTCATTTAAGAATTATGTTTACGTTCAAAAACAGCCAGAATTGTTGTAAAATTCATAAAAAAATAATAATCTGAGTCATACGTAGTGCTATACTGCCCTCTTGTGTTCAATATCAGGTAGGCCTATTGTGTATATTCCCACCGGTTAATCAACGTGTGACTCCGCTGGGACTTGGGAGCTTTTAAATCGCTTACTTAAAACCGAAAGTCAAAATACGGATGTCCGCACAAGACATTAATGGTGTGGAGTAGAGCGAGCATTTTAAATAAATTCCTATTAAGTAGGATTGAACTAAACAGAAAGAATGTTCACTCTGTTCTGCTGGTTCCTCGCTGGTGGATCATATGATTACTTTGTCATAATCTATGACAAAAATGCTATTATAAACCATATTAATAATAGATAATACACATTGCTCTTATTTTTGAAAAATACATTCATGAAAAACAAGATAACAAAAATCATAAAAAAAATATAGCCATGGCTGCTATAAATGTTTGAAATGCATAGGACAGATGTTTAATGACGCAGCAACATATAATTGAAAGGCAATTAATAATCTGTCAT